TAAATTGAAGGAAATTAAGCTTGTTTTAGGAACATTAAGCAGTGTTTAGATGTGATTTTTACTGTATTATAGTAACTAAATACAATTATGTTTTATTTTCTTGCATTATAAATGCCTTGCAATTGTTAAAATAGTTAACTAAAACTAAAACCACGAAGAACAATTTCACTGCTTGAAATACAAAATCTGAAACTAAAATGAAAATTAATAGTTATAACTAGAACTAAAACATATTTGTTTCCATTTTCGTTACTTAAAAACACTTCCAATAAAATATAAAAAACCTTAAACTTTCATTACAATAGGTGCCATTTCTCATTTTCATTTAGTTTAACATTATGTAGTAAAAGTACAATAAAAAAGACATTTAAAGAAAAAACTTCTACTAAAATTACAATGAAAACAGAAACTTATCAAATATAAAAATTCAAAACAGATTAAAACTACAATAGTATCTACAGGTCTGACGTAATGGTGCTCAGAGGAAGCTGGTAGTGAAGCGCTGCAGTAACCTCAGCACACGCGTGTCCTGGTATCTCATTTCTTCTGCTGCTCTGTGATTATCTCCGTATGGTCAGGAATGAGCCGCGCTGATAACAGCAGTCCTGCGGAGACATGCAGATGGATCACAGTGACTGCAAACATGTCAAGCTGCTCAGAAAAATCCCTCCTGCCTCTGGGCAAACACTGTTGCTTTACACTGTCAGCTGTCAGAATAATTGGTCATGTCACCAGTGAGATTTCAATGAAACTAAAATAACACTGGTGTTGTTTTTATTAATATTCTGAATAGTTTTTATTTTTATATATTCTATTGTTTTTGTTTTAATTTTTGTTAGTTTTAGTCATTTTGTTGATTTTGTCATTAATTAATGAATGACATAAAATGTAATACTGTCTTTATAGTTTTTTTTTTCAGTTTGAGTTATACTAGCTGAAATAACAGTTTAGTTTTATATATATTTCAATTCAATTTAATAGTAAAAAATTTCATTGATATATTACAATTAAATTTTTTATATTAAATTTCATTTTTATAAGTAATGAAAATGTAAACAAAAGTCATTTTCTGGTTTTAGTTAACTCCAAATTGATGCATAAAATAAATATAAATTAAATGTAGTTAAATGTAAATTGAAGCATAAAATAAACTATAGACATATAATGCAACTAAAAAAAAACATTAGGCAATCGGAGAAGAGGCGGCCATCGCAGGAGAGACAGCAATTGGAGAAGTGGCATCCATTGGAGAAGTGGCATCCATCGGAGAAGTGGCATCCTTAGGAGAAGGTGTCTTCACTTTTCTCGAATATTTGGCTCCTTTTCTTTTATTATAAGCCATAAATGAAATAGTGTTTTGAGGGTTGTACTTTAATACCTACTGTATAAACCTCGATATATCCCAGTATGCTAGAAAGTTTATGAACAAATTTCATTCAAAAAATGAACAGTAAGTTAATTTCTCTAGTAGTGCTAATTATAAATGCATTTCAATTGTACCTTTGAATGTAACCATAAAACTACACATGTAAAATGTTGAAAACGTAGTAAAAATCAAATGCACCCAAAAGTTTTTTTTTTCTTCTGCATTTTCCTATTAAACTATTTACAGTTTCATACAATCATTGCACGGAAATAATTCGTTTTGGAAAACAAAACACAAATACATCAGTTTGGAAAATAATAAAAGTAAAGTCAAATCATTAATCTGCATCACAGAAGCAAACATGTTACAATAAAATACATTTGCACCATAAAAATGAATGCATCTAGAGCTGACTTTCTGACATACTCCTCTCGCTTGAGTCTATTGACAATAGGACAAATGGAAGAATACGTTTTGACACGTCCGGTTTAAACCGCTTTTGTGTCTCAGTACAGACTTCAGAAGGATCCCAGAGTCAGGATCAAGTGAGTGGTCTATTTTAATGGCGCCCCGGATCACATCGGAGGTTTATTTGTTTGTTCAGAGCATTTTGTTTTATAATTGAGGCACAGTAATAAAGAGTTCACAGAGAAACATTTGTTGAAAGATGAAGCAGCTAGTTGTATAGATCTGACAGCTGCATCACAGACCGTAAGTAAATGATTTAATAATGCTTGCTTTGTAAATGATAAAGTTCCCTTTCGAGTGTCCACTCTACATTGTGAAGCATTCGCAGTGGGAACTCCTCCACTTCTCAGAAAATCCTGAAACCTTATAGGATAACACCAGCACAATAAACTGGCCAGTTGTTGCTAATTATGCAAATCGCATGCAAATACCGACAAGCCTGCGGGCCGTATATGATGTAACGAGAGCAAGACTTGCTTGCTGCCTCAAAGAGGAAGTTTACATTCTTCCCGGATGTCCACGAGCAGGTGGTGAAGTCGTGGTTTGCACCCCAGCACCCCCGCGGCTATGTGCGCATGCCCCCCATCGCCGCACATCTGTGCCCTTCCTCGGCCACTACAAGAGGTGCAAATAGTATCTGCCACTATTTGCAGTAAGTACAAATAGCATCTAATTACTATTTACACAGTGCATAGAAGATACTGCTGTTTCCAGTGCAAATAGCATCTATCGCATACAGTGCAAATACCTCTGCCATAAAAATAAAAAAATTAATGTCATGGTCCCTTTAAATAATCGCATTTCCAAAATGTATTTATTCAGATTGCTTAGACAATGATGACAGTGATGCTTTATCAACTTCATCTCTGCTAAACAAACACAAGCATTATTTTGTTTTCTTTCGGTTGTGTTTTCATTCTCTGACATGTTTGTGTTTTTGGGTGTGGATGGAGGAGATGATTGTTAGTTTTCCTCGTCTCCACCCTTTCCACAGCTCAACTATTGTTTTACAGAGACTTTAGAGATGACTGTGCACTTGTGAGTTCACATTATTTATGTTATGAAAGACATATCTTGATATGAAGGATTATACGTGCAGAAAAAGACAGATTGTTGTGCATTAATCCAAATGAAACAAAGGAAAGCGCCTTCTTAGACATTTTTGGCACAATAATGTTGATGGACTTGATTATCTTGTGTGTCCCGCCTGCTTTAGACACCCATGATGAGCCTTGAATCTCCATACAGAATTTTATACACACAACACACACACACAACACACAACACACAAACACACACACACACACACACACACCTCTGGGCAAACAGTGTTGCTTTACACTGTCAGCTGTCAGAATAATTGGTCATGTCACCAGTGAGATTTCAATGAAACTAAAATAACACTGGTGTTGTTTTTATTAATATTCTGAATAGTTTTTATTTTTATATATTCTATTGTTTTTGTTTTAATTTTTGTTAGTTTTAGTCATTTTGTTGATTTTGTCATTAATTAATGAATGACATAAAATGTAATACTGTCTTTATAGTTTTTTTTTTCAGTTTGAGTTATACTAGCTGAAATAACAGTTTAGTTTTATATATATTTCAATTCAATTTAATAGTAAAAAATTTCATTGATATATTACAATTAAATTTTTTATATTAAATTTCATTTTTATAAGTAATGAAAATGTAAACAAAAGTCATTTTCTGGTTTTAGTTAACTCCAAATTGATGCATAAAATAAATATAAATTAAATGTAGTTAAATGTAAATTGAAGCATAAAATAAACTATAGACATATAATGCAACTAAAAAAAAACATTAAAAATCTGTCTAAAAAAAAAAAATAATAAAAAAAAAAATATATATATATATATATCAAACTAACCAGGTATAGCCACTGGAGTTATGGTTTGAGTAAAGCTGAAGTCAGTGTGAGGTTCAGGGACGGCCGTGTGCCCAGAGAGACCACAGTAGAGTCTGTTTCAGGAAGACGCCTCTTGAAATTCTGGGAAAATTAAAGGGTTTCTTAAAATGTCTAAACCTGCATAATTAAATGGCCTCTCAGATGTTCACGACTGTGGAGGAGATCAGACAAAAGGCAGACCGCAAACGCTGAATGTGAGAGCTGCAGTACATATTAATGTCAAGTAGCATCAATTGCGTCTTCTATGTCAGATCGGGAAAAAAATAACAAAACAAAAAACAATGCATTTGATGCTGAAAAAAAAACAACTAATCCAATGAAAAGGTAAAAAACTTGAGAAGCAAAATCTTCACGAGATATTAAGACTTGTTTTTAGACTATCTTTAATGAGTGTATTTTGTATTACTGTTTTAAGTATAAAAATACAATATACACTCATATTAAAGACAACCGAAAAGAAGTCTAAATATCTTATGCAGTCTTCTCAATTACGTTTATCTTGCTTTAAGGATATTTATATGTTTTATGTGGAAATTACGTATTAAAAGCTCATTGTGAAGTCATTTTTGCATTGTACAGACTGAAATAATGATACATTAAAATATGTGATATATTCAGGGGTGTAGCAACCATTACAATATAGCAAACATTTTTAAAAATTTAAGTTCACCACCTTCACTTTTTGAGATTATCACTTGTTTTAAAGAGCAGGTCATATGGGTTTTCGAAAAATATCTCTTTTGCAGTTTGTAAGGTAGTTATCATTCAATGTAAACAGTCTGCAAAGTTGTTAATCAAAAAAGAGCATGATAAATATAGATATTGTCTCTCAAAAGAAAGAGTCGACTCAGAATCGCCTTAACGAGTCGATATATTTTCGAATCTTCTGCCTGTTACCGATCTACGTCACTGGGTAACACATTAGCATAATCCCCGTCCTGCCCACGAAATACGAACACTCTCAGTGTTGAGAAGGTGCTGTGTTCCACGATACCACAGCAATACAATTCGAACCTTTTGTTGTGCTCGTCATTTTACCGAGGACTGCTTCTCTAATCTTGCCTTTTATCTTCGTTGACTTCAAATCTTTATTTGGACCAATAAGCGTCTCCGAACCACAACCTGTAAGTACGAAGTACTGTTTTTTTTTTTTTACTTTGTGCTACGTCATCGCCCTCTTTCGTTATCTCAGCCGCCCCCTCATCAGTGCTGCGCTGGCGCCGGCTGGTGCACATGTGATACAGCTGTTCTGCATTATAATTAAAGGTTAAGACACGGAGCGTCTTTTGTCTGTCGTTCTTCAGACATTACAGTAGACATATTTTGGTTTTCAAACTGTATTGTTTCATCAGCACTCGGCTAACGTATCCACCATTATTGTTTTAAGTGTTCACAGTTTAGCAGCTAAACTTTAGCTGTGGGCACGATTCGCTTGCATAAGTGTTAAACAAAATGTTTTTATGTAATTATTTTAAGAACTGATTGGAGCACTATATTATTGTTTTATGTAAAGGTGCATGCTAGGGTTGCCAGGTTGTCACAACAAAACCCGCCCAATTGCTACTCAAAACTAGCCCAATCGTGTTTCGAGGGTGGTCCCCCTTTCAAAATCGCGTTCTGGGGTGTAAAATACACACTTTCAGTCAGGGTTCCCCTGGTAAATTCACATTCCAGTGCTTAAATATGACATTATTGGGGTCGCAACAACCCCGCGACATCCAAAACAACTGCGGACTTGGCAACACAGATGGTAGCGCTCGCTAACTTGCTCAAGCGCTCATCTTTGTGCCAATCACAACAGGCTTGGCCAGCGGACCAATCAGAGCAGAGTAGGCTTATGGAAGGGAGGGGTTTACAGACATTTCGCTCAGAACTGAATCGAACGAACCGTTTCAAAATCATGGACAAATGACTATGTATAAATGTATATTCTGGGAAAATTACAGGGTTTTCAGACCGTAGATGCATTTAAACCTGTTGTAGGGGACTCCAACACAATATTAGGACACTTTAAAAAAAACATATGACCTGCTCTTTAAGAATTTTTTGAAGGAAAAAAAAAAACTACACTACCATTCAAAAGTTTGGAGTCATTAAAATTTTTGTTTGAAAGAAATGAATACTTTTTATTTAACAAGGATACATTAAATTGATCAAAAGAGACCGTAAAGGCACATTTCTATTTTCAAATGCTTTTGAACTTTCTATTTATGAAAGATTTTAACATTGATAATAATAAATGTTTCTTGAGCAGCAAATCAGCATATTAGAATGATTTCTCAAGGATCATGTGACACTGAAGACTGGAGTAATGATTCAGCTTTGATCACAGGAATAAATTACATTTTACAATATATTCTCATAGAAAATAGTTATTTCGAATCGTAATAATATATACAAATTTTGCTGCTGTTTACTGTATTTTTGGTCAAATAAATGCAGCCTTGGTGAGCAGAAGAGACTTCTTTACTGTCGTTCTTACACCCCTGATTATATACACATCCATATTCTGAACTGTAGGTTTGACACAGAACAGACTGATGAATTGTGTATAAAAAAGAAACTTTACTGTGTTTCAGCATTTCACCTACCAACAAAAACCAGTAAGAAATAATAATAAATAAACAGAACTGTTATGTAGTATAAAAGATACCCACATTCATACTAGAAGGAACAAAAAAAAACCTGTTATCAGGCAGAAAGAGGACAGCTTTAAAAACAGGCACCTTAAAAGACGTGATCTGAGATTCAGTTATATAACATTTTTGGATAAATTTGTTCTGATCTTGTAACT